ATGGAGCCGACGCCCCCACGGGGCCCACGCCATGACCCAGCCTGGCCGTCGCCGCAGGCCTACCACGAGGAACCTCACTCACAGCCGGGAGCTTTTGCTCGGCGTGCCTCGTTTCCCTCCCCCTCCCCCCCCGCTCCCTCCTGCCTCCCCCCCTCCCCGCCTCGCCTCCCCCCCCCCCTCGAGGGGAGGGGGGGGGGAGAGAGCCGCGGCGGGGAGAGGTTCAGCGCAGGGGGGGGGCGGCAGGCGGGATGGGGCGAGGCGGCGGGCAGGGGTGCGGGGAGGCTGGGCGGTGGGCCCCGGGGCAGGAGCGAAGGGCATGCCCCTCCCCCCCCTTCCGGGAGGCCCCCCGCCCTCGCCCTCCCCCCCCCCCCCCGACGCCGCCGGGCCGAGCCCGGCGCACGCTTCCAGCGGCGCCCCGCCGGCCGCCGCGGCGAGGCTCGCGTCCTCGGGAGCCCCGGGGGGGGTGGCGGGGGGTCGGGCGGGGCGGTCGCGCGGGAAGGCGCCCTCCCGCGCGCGCGGGGGGGGCCGCGCGCGGCGGGCCTCGCCCGCAACCCGTATGCGCGGCCTCGCGGTCCGAATGCCGCGGCCCGAACTCTGCAGAGAGAGACCACGACGGCGTGTGAGCGGCGGCACGGCCCCTTCGATGAGCAACGTATGAAGTGACAAACCTGATGCCTGTCAACTATCCTTTTTCCCGCAATTTTTTCCACCACCGGCCGGCAGGGCTCGAGCGCACGTGCTTTGAACACCCTCTGCAGATCGAAAGGCTCGGCTCACACAGTGTGAGGCCGACCGGACTAATGAACACACACTAATGGGCACGGCCCCGCCCGCGAACGAGGCCACATCATAGTCTGCGGGGCTTCCCCGATCGCGGGCTATATCTCTTGGGCGCGGCGCGGAAGGCGCGTGCAGCAAGCCGGTCATTTGGGGCAGTGGGGGGGAGGGGGGAAGGGAAAGGGGGGGACACGAGAAATTTCCGCCAAACGGGCGGGATTTGTGATTTTCCGCCAATCGGGGAATTCCCACCAGACGAGATACTTCCGCAAGACGGGAAGGGGGCGACGGGGGGAAGGGAGGGGGAGAAGGGGGGGGAGGAGAAAATTTGTCATCCTATAGCGAACGCTGCTTCGTAATCACACGCTGGTCGTGGACGAGACGGGGGGCGCGACCACGAGGCTGAAAGGAGAGGACGACAACGTGGAAAAGGGAAGGGCGAAGAGAAGACACTGGGGGGAGAAAATCAACGCGTGATAAATATGATGATGTCATTACGGAGGATAATATGTTTTGCATGTGTTATCTCTGACACCTTTCTACCGATTCGGAAAGGCATGACCCTCTCCTTACTCGAGTAATGACTCGCATGTTAAAACACATCATGTTTGGCTATCCAACGTGCGCTGGCACGAGTTGATGGTGCCTGCAAGTGTACGTACGAATCAACCTTGCACGTTTGCATCGTTGCAGCAAGCAGGGTGGTCTTCCACTATCGCGTGCCTGCGACATTCGGCCTCGTGCATGTCGGCAAGACTGCCGACAGGGCAGCGTGGCGCTGCAAAAACCCACAACGGGCACGCAAGAGGAGTGACCAGTCCGGGACACCGTGCTGCCCGTCTCGTGCTGTCCTCGCTTTCCCCGGGAAGGCTCCCTTGGAGCGCTCTCGAGGCTTCCGCGAGGCCAGGCCTGGCGCGGAGGGGTACAGCTGGCGCGCTCCGCGCGCGCGGGGGAATTTTTGTTTGGGGGGGGCGGGCACCGCCCCCTGCAGTGGGCCTCCAGGCGGTTGCCCTCATGGCTTTAACTTAAAAGGGCCCAGGGACACACAAATACATGCACACAAATCCCAGGATTCCCCATATCCTGCCGTATGTTCTGGAATCTCGTCTTACCCCCCCGCTTCCCACATTTGTCCCATACTTTCCTGGGAGTCGACGATTCATTGAGTCCGTGTGCTTCTGTCCCCTCCTGGCTAATGCAGAAAAGCCTTGAGGCGTGCCTTTCTCGAAGATTGACAGGAGACCCTGTAGCAAAACGTCCTTCAATGAAAAGTACCAGGGGCACATGCGCAGGGCACCGCATTCCGAGGGGACCCCAGCGGGGTAGCTACTCGACGTTCAAACGCAATTGAGTGCATTCGGCGAAGCGCACGCCGATTGGTGAAGACGACTGGGGACGGCGCTTTCAAAAAGCAGGTGTGCAATCAAACATTGCTATACATGGGCCAGACAGCCATCAAGAACCTGGGGAAACCAAGAGGGAGCGATACCGCTGCTCCCTGGACCTCTCCCGGGGTGCGTTCTGACCAGAATTTCGAGGCGAATGCAGCGGTGGCCACGAGGGCTTCCCAGGAGGCCGAAAAAAGGGGAAACGAGGGAACGGTAGAGGCATGGATAGCTCCTCCTCCTCCGAGGACCTTCGGAGACGCTCAAACCTCAAAGCTGCGCACCCCAGAGCGGTGTCGGGAGCGGCAAAGAGGGGGGCGTCCAAGAGGGGGGGGCGCAAATCATGACCGGCGGCATGTGCGCGGCCCAGCGGGGGGGCCGGGAACGTAATGAAATAAGAAGAGGCGCCATGAAATCTGAGGAAAAATCATGGCCCGCGCCATGAAATCCACCCCCCCCTAGTCATCACCCCCCTCTTTTCCGCCCCCGACGGTGGGCGGAGGAGCCGTGGGCAGCCCCGCCGGGGAGTCCTGAGCGCAGCCCTCGCCAACCGCTGGCGGCAGCCGGCGGGGGTCCTCCGCCAGGGCGAGGCACTTCCTCGGGGCCGGTGCGCGGGCGCGAGCGGCCGCGGCGCCGCGAGCGAGCGACGCCCCCGGCAAGGGGCGGCGGCAGGTGCGCGACCTGCGGAGCTCGGACGACGGGCTCGACGGGCTCGTCGGGCTCGACGGGCTCGACGGGCTCGACGGGCTCGACGGGCTCGATGGGCTCGACGGGCTCGATGGGCTCGAAGGGCTCGAAGGGCTCGAAGGGCTCGTCGGCTCCGGCAGTAGCCGCCCGCGTGCTTGGGCCCAGACCCTCCCCCCCCCGGCGCCCCCCGCAAACCGTGCGGCAAAGGTCACTCTGGCGAAGGGTCACTCGCACGCGCAGCCGACACGGCAGTGGCACGGACCCCGCCGAGGGCACCCCCTCGGAGGAAACAAACGAACGAGCACCACTGCGGACAAGCGCCTGGGCCTCGCTGAGACCAGGCAGGTGAGGCCGTGGCCTCTGGATTACGCAAACTAGTGCGTCGCGCGAGACATAACAAATTGGCATGGGGAGGGAGGAAGAAGAGGGACGGGAGACCATCCCCCATTCCTTCCCACTTTGTGGAGGGGAGGTGGGTGGGAAGATCCTCACCCTTCTGCTGCTCCTCCTCCTCCTCCTCCTCCTCCTGCGTCCTGTCTCTTTCTCACACTGCTCGTCCTGCTCCACCTCTCCTCGGAGTCCGTCGTATCAGGGGGAACTCTTTTGCGATCTCGTGTTGTGGTTGGCAGTGGCGCTACAACTCTTCTTCCTCCTCCTCCTCCTCCTCCTCCTCCTCCTCCTCCTCGTCCTCGTCCTCGTCCTCGTCCTCCTCCTCCTCCTCCTCCTCCTCCTCCTCCCCCTCCCCCTCCCCCTCCCCCTCCCCCTCCTCCTCCTCCTCCTCCTCCTCTCCTCCTCCTCCTCCTCCTCTCCTCCTCCTCCTCCTCCTCCTCCTCCTCCTCCTCCTCCTCCTCCTCCTCCTCCTCTCCCTCGTCAAACACCTCACAGATTGTCCAAGATCTCTTGTCTTCCACCGCCGATCCTCCGCCTGGCAGAGGCCACCGCGCCGCCCGCGGCAGGCGCCGTGCGCCTGAGGCGCACCGCCCCCCCCCTCCCCCCCGGCGGTCGGCGTTGTCGGCGTCGTTGCCGTCGCCGTCGGCGTCGTCGCCGCCGTGTCTCCACCGCCGCCGTCGAAATTGTCGCCGTCTTCAATGTCGTCGTCGTCGTCGTCGTCGTCGTCGTCGTCGGCGTCGGCGTCGTCGTCGTGGTTGTCGGCGGCATCGTCGCCGTCGTCGTCGTCGTCGTCGTCGTCGTCGTCGTCGTCATCGTTGTCGCCGCCGGTGTCGTCGTCGCTGTCATTGTCGTTGTTGAGGTCGGGGTCGTGTCACCGAGCGTCGCCGATGTCGTAGCCACATCTGCTGCCTGGCCGTTTCTGCCCGCACACTGACCTGCGCTGGTCCGAATGGCATACCTGCTGCGCTGGATGCTTCAATCTGAAAGTGCGACTTCGACGCTGCGTCGCCGATGAGAAGGGGGGCACTCGCTGCCTGCTGGTCGCCTTCCGCGTCGCGCTGGAACGGAGACAATTGCGATGCACCACCAGGGCAACCCTTCGAAATTCAAGTTAGCAGTTCCTGGCTCCAGCCAGTAATGATAGCGGGACGAACGGCGCACCAATATCACACAGTAGTCTCCGACAAGGGGCCGTACAGGCTAACTGTAGAACCGATAGCCCCAAAGAGACAGGCGACACCTCGGGAGCACATGTGGCACTGTGCCAGAAAACTGTTCGCCGATACTTCAGTCATTGCGAAATACCGAAAGCAATGTCACATTACCATTGCCTTGGTTCGAATAAAGAGGTTGATAGCGGTATGTCTTTCTTCAACACTTCCGACATTTTCGAACCAAGTGTGCGGACATTATTGGACCAAGCTCGGGCGTCAATTCAATCCAAAGTTCATACAGCAACATAGGGACTAAACTGCTGATGCGGAGGTCTGCGTGTCTCGTGACCTAACGGGGCATCAATGCTCCAGTGTGGGGGGCATGACCAACCTGAAAGATCTCCCCAACAAACCTTGACAACATGAACATCATCAAGAACATCATCAAGGTGAAGTGCCATCGGCTCGGCGTCCGCCGCCCCCGCCGCTGCTACTTGCCAAGAATCGGACGGGAGGAACGCAGTTTGTCTAGTTTGCAGCCACAACGGGCGTTATTGAGGGGGGGGAGGGGGGGGACATGAAGGGGCATAACGTGGCGCCTCCCTCCCAAACTCTGGCGCCGAACGCACTGCGGCAGAGCTGGCCGGGGCCACTCTGAGGGGGGGGAAGCGTTGCGTCATGAGGTGGGGAAGGGGGGGGGGAGGGGATAGGGGGCCTAACGCGCGTTATGGCCCAGAGGGTGAAGAAACACGATCGAGGGGCGGGGGGGGGGAGGGGGGAGAGGGTAGGGGGCATAACGCGCGTTATGGCCCAGAGGGTCAAGAAACACGCTCGAGGGGCGCGGGGGGGGGGGGAAAGGGAGGAGTCGGGACGAGGCAGGGACGGGGGAGGGCTCCCGTTGGAGTTGGGCCCGCGGGGCCTGGGCGGCGAGCGCCGCGAGCCCTCCAGCTCTGCTCCGCTGCCGCGGGCGGCGACAGCCTGGGCCGCGCGTCCCTCTGGCTCGAGCAGTCTGGGAGCATCCCGTCCGACCGGAGAAGACACAGTTCGAGGGGTCGAATCGGCGGCGAGCGGGGGGGGGGTGTGAAGGGGCGGGCCTTCTCAGAAGGCTCGGAAGTCCCCGGCCCTTCCGAGAAGATTTCTAAGGCTTCCCCGAAGACACCAAACAACTCCCCAAAGGCGCGAGGGCTTCTGAGAAGTCCCGCCGCCTCCTGAGAAGGCCTTCTCCTTCTGACGTCCCCCCTCGCTCGCCGCTGATCAAAGCGCGGTCACAGGTGCCGTTGGGGTCCTCAGATCCATGGCACGGTGGCGGACCAAACGCGTCCTCTCCAGCAGACTGGGCCGCAAGGGTCTGAGCCAGGGCCTCCAACCCAAACTCCTGGGAGGTCCAGCGGAGTGGTGTATCCTACGTGTGACAGAACTAGACTTTGCCCTCCGTGCGGGGCTGCGAACTGCGCAACTGTCGCCGCATTCATGAGCTCCTAGGCGGCCCAGCGGAGTGGTGCCCGTTGCCCGGCAGAACTGAACCTCGTCCTCCCTGCGGGGCTGCGAACTATCTAGCGAGGTGGGGCCCAAGCCAGGCAGAACTAGACTTCGCCCTCCCTGCGGGGCTGCGAACTGCGCAGCCGTCTCCGCTTTCCTGGGCTCCTGGGAGGTCCAGCGGAGTGGTGTCCGACGCAAGGCAGAACTAGACCACCTCGCCCTCCCTGTGGAGCTGCGACCTGCGCAGCCGTCGCTGCTTCCGTGGGCTCCTGGGAGGTGCAGCGGAGTGGTGTCCTACGCAAGACAGAACTAGACTTCGCCCTCCCTGCGGGGCTGCGAACTGCGCAACCGTCTCCGCATTCCTGGACTCCTGGGAGGTCCAGCGGAGTGGTGTCCTACGCAAGACACAACTAGACTTCGCCCTCCTGGAAGGGCTGCGACCTATCTAGCGAGGTTGGTCCTACGCCAGGCAGAACTAGACTTCGCCCTCCCTGCGGGGCTGCGAACTCCGCAACCGTCTCCGCTTTCCTGGGCTCCTGGGAGGTCCAGCGGAATGGTGTCCGACGCAAGGCAGAACTAGACCACCTCGCCCTCCATGTGGAGCTGCGAACTGCGCAGCCGTCGCTGCTTCCGTGGGCTCCTGGGAGGTCCAGTGGAGTGGTGTCCTACGCAAGGCAGAACTAGACTTCGCCCTCCCTGCGGGGCTGCGAACTGCGCAACCGTCTCCGCTTTCCTGGGCTCCTGGAGGGTCCAGCGGAGTGGTGTCCTACGCAAGACAGAACTAGACTTCGCCCTCCTGGATTGGCTGCGAACTATCTAGCGAGGTGGGTCCTACGCCAAGCAAATCTAGACTTCGCCTTCCCTGCGGGGCTGCGAACTGCGCAACCGTCTCCGCTTTCCTGGGCTCCTGGGAGGTCCAGCGGAATGGTGTCCGACGCAAGGCAGAACTAGACCACCTCGCCCTCCATGTGGAGCTGCGAACTGCGCAGCCGTCGCTGCTTCCGTGGGCTCCTGGGAGGTCCAGAGGAGTGGTGTCCTACGCAAGGCAGAACTAGACTTCGCCCTCCCTGCGGGGCTGCGAACTGCGCAACCGTCTCTGCGTTCCTGGGCTCCTGGAGGGTCCAGCGGAGTGGTGTCCTACGCAATACACAACTAGACTTCGCCCTCCTGGATGGGCTGCGAACTATCTAGCGAGGTGGGTCCTACGCCAAGCAGATCTAGACTTCGCCCTCCCTGCGGGGCTGCGAACTGCGCAACCGTCTCCGCTTTCCTGGGCTCCTGGGAGGTCCAGCGGAATGGTGTCCGACGCAAGGCAGAACTAGACCACCTCGCCCTCCATGTGGAGCTGCGAACTGCGCAGCCGTCGCTGCTTCCGTGGGCTCCTGGGAGGTCCAGTGGAGTGGTGTCCTACGCAAGGCAGAACTAGACTTCGCCCTCCCTGCGGGGCTGCGAACTGCGCAACCGTCTCCGCTTTCGTTACGTCCTGGGAGGTCCAGCGGAATGGTGTCCTACGCAAGACAGAACTAGACTTCGCCCTCCTGGATGGGCTGCGAACTATCTAGCGAGGTGGGTCCTACGCCAGGCAGAACTAGACTTCGCCCTCCCTGCGGGGCTGCGAACTGCGCAACCGTCTCCGCTTTCCTGGGCTCCTGGGAGGTCCAGCGGAACGGTGTCCGACGCAAGGCAGACCTAGACCACCTCGCCCTCCATGTGGAGCTGCGAACTGCGCAGCCGTCGCTGCTTCCGTGGGCTCCTGGGAGGTCCAGTGGAGTGGTGTCCTACGCAAGGCAGAACTAGACTTCGCCCTCCCTGCGGGGCTGCGAACTGCGCAACCGTCTCCGCTTTCGTTACGTCCTGGGAGGTCCAGCGGAGTGGTGTCCTACGCAAGACAGAACTAGACTTCACCCTCCTGGAGGGGCTGCGAACTGCACAGCCGTCGTTGCTTCCGTGGGCTCCTGGGAGGTCCAGTGGAGTGGTGTCCTACGCAAGGCAGAGCTAGACTTCTCCCTCCCTGCGGGGCTGCGAACTGCGCAACTGTCGCCGCAGTCGTGGGCTCCTGGGAGGTCCAGCGGAGCGGTGCCCTTGGCCAAGCAGAACTAAACTTCGCCCTCCCTGCGGGGCTGCGAACTGCACAACCGTCGCCGCTTTAGCGGGCTCCTGGGAGGCCCAAGGGAGTGGTGTCCTACGCACATCAGACCTAGGCCTAGACCTCCGCGCGAGACTGCCAACTGCGCAACTGGCGCCGCTTTTGGATCGCAAGAGTTATTGCGTGAATGGAGGGCATTGGGCGTGTCAGGCGTTGTCTTGCGAAGTGCTCAAGGGGACGACAGGTACGTCCATGCACCAGTTTGGAATTAAACGGTCTTGACTATAGTCGCCATATGTGTAGAAAGCGCTGGGTACGTCCTTTGGTATTTGCTGTTCTGTTGCAGTGCTTGCAGAACGACGGTGTTTGGTCTCATTTCGACATGCGCGCACGCGTGAGGACTGTGTTGTGTCTTTTGCGAAGACGTATTGAAAATCATCTTTTGAAACCCAGAACTGTGCGCATGGTATTGTTCGACAGGGGTGTGAGGGGGGTGTCGATACCGTCTTGTCTGGGGTGGTGCGATACCCTGTGTGAGCAAACTGCAGTATGGGGCACAATGAGGCGCAATATGCTGCGTCCCAGGGGGAATCGAGAAGTCCGGGGTGCTCGCGAATGCCACAGCGTGCCTCTGAACACCACAGTAGCCTGCGAGCGCCACAGGACGTCCGCGGTCGCCACCGGACGACCGCCGTGACGTGAGGGAGGGGGGGGACAGGGAGGGGGGGGGGGGCGGGGCCGGTCACGCCCGTGATCGCCGGGATTTCTTCCGAACGGGCTCGTGGTGGTGCCTAGGTGAACCCTCTGTGCGCCACCGAGGAGCCCACAGGCACCCGCCGGACGAAATCTGGAAACGCCTGCTGGCGCACGCGGGCGCCCTCGAGGCACCCCTGGCGCCCGCGGGCGAACGCCCGCACACGTCAGCCAACGCACGTGGGCGCCCACGCTGCGCCCGCAAGGCAACGACCAGCTGAAGACACGGCAACCGCAGCCAACTCCCTACGAACGAATTGCAGGACTCAGCGGCGAGCCAGGGGGGGGGGAAGTGAGAAGGAGAAGGCCCTCTCAGAAGGCAGCGGGAGTTCTCGGAAGCCCTCTGGCCTTCTGAGATATGTTCGGCGCTTTCGGGAAAGGCTTTAACAGTTCTCGGAAGGCCGGATGACTTCCGAGCCTGCTGAAAAAGGCCCGCTCCCTTTCACTTCCCCCCTGGGCTCGCCGCTGACAGGACCCCATGAAGTCACAGGGGAAACGCGCCCGCCAGGACTTGTTCGTGCCCCCTGGAGGTCAGCCATCTGCTGCCCCGTGGGAGGCGGGCGCGTTAACTTTCCGCCCGCCCTCCAGGTGCCCTCGAGAACGGTGTGGCCAGAGCGGGCGCGAGCGAATGCGAGATCCATCCCACAGCCACCTCCGCACAAGCGTCATGCATCAAATTCCTGCCGTGGCCACGTCGGCCCTGGTTTCAAACACCGTGGAAACCATTCAATGTTGAACAGGTCTCCGCCCTGAACACCCCCAGAGGCTACCTTCCCACCTTTCGTATATGCGAGCTCCTATGATGGCTTCAGCCTCGAACGCCTGAGCCGGAGTTGCCGCCACGTCGAGGCGGCACGAACCTGTTGCAGTGCCCCCCATAAAATAGCCAACATCTACTCCAGGGGGGGAGGGGAGAGGGAGGGGTGCGAATGCCCCCGACGATCACGTGACGGCCCTGTTTCGGACTTCTGGGGTCCTCTCTCGGGTCCCGGGTCAAGAAACGCCCCCTGATTAACAGAGCCAGTGCGGGGGATGGGGTCGAGAGCTGCGCGGCCTTCAGGGGCCCGCGACGTGAAACAGATCGCGACGCTGGGAGGCCTGAGGTGATGCTAGGACTGCTGTCTCGTGGGGGAGGCCTCATCGGGGGTGGGCAGAACCCCTTGTTGCAAAACACTCTTTAGTGAAAACGACCCGGGACCAGACCCAACGAGCGTAAGGCTGCAAAAAAACAGACGACACACCGTGTCGAGAACAGAAAAAAGGCAATTCGCCAATCGACTTGGCAGGGGGGCGCTTCTGCCCTTCTCCAATCTCAGACGAGAGTTCTCTCTCTCTCTCTTTCTCTTGGTACCTTTGTGCCCCGGCTGGGGACGCCGGTCAACCCTGTGGCCTGTAGCCATGAGGGCGGCATGGGCCATTTGGCCTCGCCGCGTTCAGGGCGCTGCTATCCCTCGGCGGGGGAGCGAGGATGGAGGACCCACCACCCCAGTTGCAAGTTCCTCCTCCCCCCCTCCTCAGATCCTGGCCTTTGCCATCAGCCAAACCCACGCGTTCCATTTCATCCTCCGTCGCATGCGAGTGTGGCGCAAGTCGCTATATCCTGGGCACCCAAATAAACGGGGACAACTATTTTACCCCGATGGGTCCTAAGGAACCGAATGTCATATCTAGTACTTCTGATGTTTTGAACGATTTCGCTGTTTCTGGCCTCCCAGAAAAGGGATCCTGAGGGGAATGGGTCCTTGACCTTTGGAGGCCTCCCAGATGAGGTCTGAGGATCGCGCTGCATCAACGATGTATCGCCAATGCATCGGCGATGCATCTGCAACGCCGACGATGCACCAGCGCCGTCGGCGTGGAGAAAATCGGGGAGGGCGCGCCGCTGGATCACCCAAAGGGGGGGGGGGGGGGTTCGGAAACCCCCCCCCCCCCCCCTTGCCCGAGCCGTGGTCGGCGAACCCCCCCCCCCCCTCCCCCCCTGCCCGAGCCGTCGTCGGCGAACCCCCCACCCCCCCCCCCCCCCCTTGCCCGAAGCCGTCGTCGGCGAACCCCCCCCCCCCCCCCCCCCCCCTCCCGAACCGTCGTCGGCGACCCCCCCCCCCCCCTTTCCCCGGCTCGCGCCCCGGCTCCGGAACCCCATCCCTACCACCCCCGCCCCGACCCCCCCGAACCCCTAACCTCTAACCCAAACCCTGAACCCTAATCCTAATCCCTAACCCGAAGCCTAAACCCTAACCGTAGACCTAACCCTGACCCCAAACCCTAACACTAAGCCTAGCCCTAACCTAAGCTCTAAACCTGAACCCTTAACCCTAACCCTCAACCCTATCCCTACACCCTAACCCCAACCCTACCCCTCACCCTAAACCCTAAACCCTAACCCTAACCCTAAACCCTAACCTCAACCCCAACCCTGACCCTAAACCCTAAACCCTAGCCCTAAACTCTAAACCCTAACCCTAAACCCTAACCCTAACCCTAAACCCTAACCCCCAAAACCCTACACCCTAAACCCTGACCCTAAACCCTAACCCTAACCCTAACCCTAACCCCTACACCCTAATCCTTAACCCTAACCCTAACCCTAAACTCTAGCCCTAACCCTAACCCTAAACCTTAACCGTAACCCTAAACCCTATGACCTAACCCTAAACCTTAACCCTAACCCTAGACCCTGAACCCTAAACCTTAACCCTAAACCCGAACCCGAACCCTAACCCTAAACCCTAAACCCTAACCCTAAACCTTAACCCTCAACACAAACCATACCCCTAACACTAAACCCTAACCCTAACCCTAAACCCTAAACCCTAACCCTAACCCTAACCCTAAACCCTAACCCTAACCCTAACCATAACCCCTAACCCTAACCCCAAACCCTAAACCCTAAACCCTAAACCCTCAAGGCGAAAAGCACCACGTATTGAGCAAGCTCGAACGATGTCATGACGAATGGTGGAAACAAGACCGACGAGGATGGAGGGATGACGCGAAACAGGTATACAATGAGCAATGTCTTGCTTCTGCTATGTTTCATTTGCTGTTGGTGCTCGAATTGCTGATTGTAGCGTTTCCGTGCTCATTGCTCTCTGCGGCGTCTCGGTGTTTCAAATTGCTGTTTGCAGCGTTACCGCTCAAATTGATGTTCGCAGCGCTTCGGTGTTCAAAATGCTGTTTGCAGCGTTTCGGTGTTTCAACGGTCGACCAGGGCTTGCAATTCTGGATTCAGGTTTCAGCGTGTAGATTTGAGGACTCGAGCTTGGGCTCGGGCTCGGGCTCCGGCTCTGTCTGGGACTCGGGCCGCGCCCGCGCCCGCACCCGCGCCCGATTCCGTTTCCGCGCCCGTGCCCTGGCGCCCCCAACTAGTGGAGAACCAGAAGAAGCCAAGAGCTTGAAACATCCTGAGAGTAAGAAAAGGCCGAGGACCAATCCCCCAGAGCAACGAATCCCCAAGAGCCAGGGAAGACTCAGAGCCAGGAGCCCCCCCAAACCTAGCCAACCTGACGAGGATGGAGGGATGTCGCGAACGAGCAATATAACAGCAAGCTGTTGCCTTTCTTGGTGTTTTCTGGCGATGTCTCGTTTTCTTCGTTCCTGAGGGTACGTGGCTGCTTCGCTTATGATGTCCTGTTCTCATCATGGAAAGCATGTCAGTCAGACGTGCGTTCGCTTCGTGCCGCCCTGCTTGGGGAATCCGAAACCACGAAGCGATAAACTTTGTGCAGGACGCACCGCGCAGCAATTCTCCGCATGCAACTCTGGTTTTCAAGCCCGAAGAAAGTAACCGAAGACAGCGATGCGATGAATGTCGGCTGCGGCCGCTATTTATTTTTCTCATGGGGGAAGCGGGGGGGCCATGCGGGCCCAGAATCGAACGTGTTTTGCGAAGTGCGGTGGCCGCGGGAACGGGGGATAAGTTGTCCAGGCGCTCTGCCGAAGACGATTGATGTCGACGTGCCGCGATGGTGATTTTCCATGGCAACGACGCCCCTCGGCCTGACGGCAGCTCAGTAGAGATGAGCAAAAGCACGCGTGCATCGAAAGCCAAGCCGCGAGCATTCAAGCGGCATATGTACACCCGCTTGCCATCGCGGGAAGACTCAGCGTCTGCCAGCGCGGCTCCAGCGCCGCGTCTGCGCTGGCCGCCTGCGGCCTGAGGGCCGACGACCCTCTGAGCTCATGCCGGGGAAGCTGGGCGAAAGGTCGACGCCAGGAACGGAACGGCCAACTCCGCGAACTTGCGTCTAGGGTGTCTACGGCACATGCGCCGCAGGCGCGGATCGTCCCACATGATCACGAAGAAGCGCATCTCATCCGCGAGTGGCAGCGGCAGACCGCGCATGCCGAGGGTGTGGACGGAGTTGCCGCCAGTGGTCATCTGGATCTCGCCGCGCGCGCGGTCGAGGCGCGCAGTGCACAGGGTCTTTCTGGGCCCGCCGCGTCTGGAAGCTCGGAAAAGAGGTGGCGGGGGCGGCGCGGTGTGTCTCATGCCCATCTGCTCCAACGTGGCCATGGCTATGTCCCACCCGTGTTCGGGAAGCATCTGCGCGTGCACGATGCGATCCGTCTTTCGAATCCCTACGTGGAAATCATTGCGAACGGAGATGTCGTAGGCCTCCGCGAGCTCGTCGAATGTCCTCGCGCTCGTCCAGCCCACGTCAATGGGCGCCCACAGGTCCACGCCGTCCTCGCCAAGCTCTTCGCGCATCAAGCACGCCTCGTCGGGCGCCCTGTCGGTAGTCAAGCAGGCGAGACAGGCCTCGCCGCCGGTCCTGAGAAGTTTCCAAAAACCAAGCTCGTGCGTAGAGATGTTCATCCTGGCCTCGTCCGCAACGACATCTCTATCTCTCCAGGAAACGTTCTGGACGCGGAAGCTCTCGGTCTGCCACAGGTGAACAATGGCGTGGGGCACGGCGGGCGGAGCGCCCAGGAGGTCCAGCTGGGAGCACGTCAGGTACACTCGCTCGGCCGAGCGCCACGACGGCAGCCACGCCGACAACTGCTCGCGGGTAATGCCCCCCGCCCCTTCGATGAAGACCTTCTTGCCGGCCCAGAACGTCGGCTCCCTAGCGGTCGCGCGCCAGTCGCGGCAGACCCTGGCGAGGTAGGCGATGCTGTCGACGCCAAGCGCGTACTGGAAGATGCGCTCCAGAGCCACTTGGGGGAAGCTGATCACGGCCGCGGGAGCGGCAAGAGAGGTCGGCCGCCTCTGCGGGCGCAGCGTCTGCGGCGCAGGGAGGGGCGCCTGCCGCATCCTCGGCGCCTCGCCCAGCTTCCCGCGAGTGCGAAAACGCGGTGCCCCCTCGCCGGATACTCCTGGCTCCATGGCTGCGCTCGGTGGATGCGACGCCAAGAAGAACTGATCTGCGCTGCCGCGGAACCGTGGAGCCGAAATACCAGCGGAGGGTCGACGACGCCGACTGGGGCGTCGGCGAAGGCAACGGCGACTCGATAATGGCCGGATGACCGTCCTGCGCCTCTTCGCAACAGCGCGTCGATAGGTCCCATGAGAACCGGGTGGGGGCCCGGGTGGATCGTCGCGTGGTCTTTTACATGGACCGGTAGACGAGATTCAGGAGACTGGGGGCCGCCCCAGGGAGCACCCCTGCGGATTCTCATGCGGGAGGGAGGCTAGGGGACCCACAAAGGCCCCTCGGGGAGCCTTCTGAGGCCCCTCGCAATAGCTGGTCGATGAGCACGGGGAGGTGGGCTGGGGGGATCCTTGAGGCCCTTCGGAAAAAAGCTGGTCGATTTGCCCCGTGGGACAGGGCTCGGGGAGCCTTCTGTGGCTCCTCGCAAGAGCTGGTCGATAAGCACAGGTGGGCGGGGGGGGTGCTAGGGGCAGCGGCGAGTCGATGTGCCCCGGGAGGGACCTGCACATGGCGCCTTGTCGCCTCTGGAGCCCCTTGCAATGCGAGTCGCAAGGCTCCGTGAGTGTCGCGACATTGCCGCCCTGGGGTCTGGAGATGACTATGAGATGGCGACGACAACGACGACGACGAAGACTACTACCATTCACATGGATCCACCCCTCGATCTGCAATGGGTTCAGAGGCGCGAGCAGCCCGACGGTTGCTAGTGAAATGTATGATACACATGGCGCAGGCGGAATATTATTGTAGGGCGCCCACAGGATGCTGCCGCCGCGCGTGCGTCTGCGCGGGCGGAGGCGCAGTCAGAGCGACGGGCGGCGACGGCTGGCCCGCCGCGCCCGCCGGAGCGCCTACTCGGGAATCTGCAAGGCCGCCTTCTCGTAGAAGAGGAGGTACGTGTGGCCCGCGACGTGGTCCCGCACGAACCTCTCGGACTCCCTCGCAGAGGCGTGCCTGATGACGCGGTCGCTGCACGTGTACCAGCGCCCTGCGCGGAGCACGAAGGCGACGTAGTGGCCGCTCCGTGCCGATCTCCCCTCGTGCGTGACCACCGCGCGAAGCAAGTAGGTGGCGCCCGGCAGGCGCAGGACGGCATCGGGCACCACTCCGTGCGACTCCAGCTGACCCGTGGCACCCCAACGGACGAGGTGGAGAACGAGGATGGCCGGCCACAGCGAGATGTTCGACACCTTTGCTGGGCTGTCCGCCGCAAGACCGCGGGCCACGCACTGAGGCGCCTTGCAGGCCCAGTCGTCCAACTCGACGATCTGCTGAGCGTTCAGGTAGTGCATCAGAGCATCGCGAGCCGTTGAGAGAGGCAAGTCGTTCTGCGCCCGCAGCATCATCGACAATGAGCAGAACCTCTCGCCGGGTGCCTGGCGCCCGAGGAGCCCGCAATGCTGGCAGCACAGGCGTGGGGTATCCATGCCGCTGCAGAGCGACGCCCAGGATGGCGCGGCCTGCAGCACCTGGTGCTGCAGGAACTCGTGGGCGTCCTCCTGGATGCCGTGGTGATGATCGAGAAAGAGATTCGGAGCGAAGCGCCTGCCCGTCTCGGCGCTGCGGAAAGTGGCGACCAACCTCCCATCTCCACTGTCCTCGATGGGCATGGCGCCGCAGAGCTCCGCGGTGAGATCGAGGGCGAATATCGCCTGCAGAGTGGCGTTGGCGTAGCAGGAGTTCCCGATGTTCAGAAGAGGGCAGGGCGCTGGCCGCGGCGGCGCAGGCGGCGCGCCCGCGCCTGGCGCAGCGGGCGCGGCGTCGCTGGCGGCGCCCCGCAGACCGGCGGCCCCGTCCGCAGCGGCGCGCGTCTCGCCTCTCTGCGCGGCAGGCGGCGCAATCGGCGCGGCCGCGGCCGCGGCCGCGCCCGCGCTCGCCGTGCCCCCGCCCCCCTCGGCGCCCGGCAGCGCGACCTTCGGCGGCGGCGCGTCGACTCCGGAGCCCGCGCCCCCGGGCGCGGCGAGCGCGACCGGCGCAGCTGCGCTGGCGGCGCGCCGCTCGCCGTCGGGCCCGTCCGCCGCGCTGCCCGCGGCCCGCGCCGGGCTGGCGAGCCGCGGCCTCTTGGGCGGATGGCGCGCGGGCGGAGCCGCTGCGGCCGTGCCGAGCTCGACGCTGGCCCGCTGCAAGTCCGCGAGCCTTGCCCGCCGGCGCGGTGCCGCAGCTGGCGTGGACGCGTCGGCTGGAAGGGCGGCTTGCTTGGCGTGGTCGGCGCCATCATCTGGCTTGCTCTCGGCGTCCTCCTCGCAGCCGTCGACTGCTGCCTCTGGGCGGGGTCGAGCGGCGTGCTCGTCGGGCGACTGCGCGTCGTTCATTCGCCGACGGCCCTTCGGAACCTGTCGCAGCACTGCCACGGCCCTCTCGGGGTCGACAGGCCCCGGCAGAGGCGGTGCCCCTGCAGGCCGCTTGCGCGCGTGGCGCGCCAGCGGGCAATACGCCCGCTGGTGGAGCTTGCAAGCCGGCTCCGAGAAGAACATCTCGCCGCAGTGTGAGCAGCCGTGCTGCGGGGCGTCGCCGCGCTCCTCCGCGGCGCGGGCCTCCAGGGCGATCTCGCGGTTCAGCACGAAAGCCGGCGGCGGCGTCTCCTCCATCCTCGCTTCCAGCGTTTCCACCGACTCGCTGGGCGCGAAGCAGTCGCGCCAGTTCTGGTCCGGCTGATCTGGGCCGCTGGCCACGTGCGCCTGCTGGACCAGCAGCTGCAGGAGGGCGTAGTCCACACCCGTCGCCGCGACGAACGCCTTCGAGTCGAGGTGCATCAGGTACAGGTCGTCCAGCGTCTGCGCGCGCGAGAGGGCGACGTACGCCATGGCTGGCCTGGCGGCGGAAGGATTCAGGTACGCGACCACGCCATCAGTCATGGTCGACCCTTGTGCCTTGTGGATAGTCATCGCCCAGCAGAGAACCAAAGGGAACTGCGAGCGCTCGATGGCGTCGCCGTCCGGGGTGTTGAACGAGCCCTTCGTCCGCACGATGGCGACGCCCGGCTCCTCGGCATTGTCCGCCGCGCGCGCGGCGCGGCCGACGCCACACGGGAACTCGACGCGCACCTTTGCCAGGTCGTCAGTGTCCCCGACGGTGAGGATGTCCGTGACGACACCGCGCGCGCCGTTCACCAGCCCGTCCGAGACGTCGAGGTTGCGTCGCAGCATCACCTTCGCGTGCAGTGCGAAGCGCGCCTCCGTCTCCAGGCCGCCCGTGTCTGCGGCATCGACGAAGCCGTCGTCGAGCTCCATGGGCATGCCGGTCTCCTTCGAAGTGTCGGACGCTGGCACGGTGTAGATCGGCACGCCATACTGCTCCGCGTGCGCTCGAAGCTGCTCATCATTCACCCGCGCCACGTCCATCCGCGTTGCCAGCAGGTGCGGTGCGTCGCACCCGGCAGGCGGTCGCCGCACGCGCGTCTGCAGCGTTGCCATGTCGTCCTCCGTCTGTTGACCCTTGCGCACCCGCTCGAGCAGGGCGGCGTAGGCTGGGTCCTTGGCTGCCCTGTGGTTGCCCTGCAGCTCGCAGAGCGTGAGCAGCTTCCAGAGCTCTTCCGCCGCGAAGATCGGGCGCCCGCCCGGCGGCGGCAGCTGGTACAGGTCGCCGCACAGAAGCAGGTGCACGCCGCCGAAAGGTACGCCGGGCATCTGCTTGTACACCTGCAACCTGGCATCGATGCGCGCAAGCGTCTCAGCCGACACCATGGACACCTCATCGACGATGAGTGCTCTCACTGGCTTCCAGAAGTGTCGGAGGCTCTCCAGAGCCGGCCCCGTCGGCGGCGGCGCGTCCGAGGCGTGCCCGAAGGAATTGTTGGTGATTGGCAGGTGCAGGCACTGGTGAAGAGTGAGACCGTTGACCAAGAAGGCTGCGCAGCCAGTAGGTGCCGCGATCGCCACGCCGTGCCCTCCCTGTCGAAGCAGCGTCGCCACGGCGCGGATGACGACGGACTTGCCGCAGCCTCCGGGGCCGTGGAGGAGGACTCGGGCAGGATCTCTATTGCCTTTCTGCACCTTGTCGCAGAACCAGTACACGATGTCCTGCTGTTTCGACCGCTGCGCTCCTTCTCCGAAGAGTAGCTCAAGCGCCTGCTCTCCCCCGTCGACGGGCCCGAACACGCTGGAGGATCCCGGCGCAACGCCCGCGGCCGCCTCGAAATCGCCATCGCTGTCGTCGTCCCCGTCGAGCTCGTCCTCCGCCCGGCCAGCAGCGAGCCGCAGTCGCCGCAGCAACTCCCGGTGGGCCTCCCACTCCATGGCGGCGCCTGGTGTCTGCATGGCGGACCTCAGGACAAGCGCCGTGTTCAGGCGTCTGAGCTCGCGGAGGGCTGCCTCAGCGAGATTGAGCTTCGGGAACACGATGGACTTCATGAAATGGTCTGCGGCACCAAGCCGCTGCACGGCGAACTCCGCAGCCTCGCCGTCGTCATCGGGAGCGCGCTCGCTGCCCTCCATGGGCTCTGGATCCTGGAGCGTTTCCGCCGCAGCTCCTCGCTCCCGTACCAACCTGGTGAACGCGCTCTTGTGACTGCCTCGATCCTCTGGCACGAGCCACTCTGGGCCCGACTCGTCTTCAAACTCCGCCCACGGATAATGCAGCAAGAGCTTGGCATAGAAGTACGCCTCGGCGTCCGCGTCCGGATCGTACGTCTTCGACGACACCACGGCAGGCTTCTCCCGCAGGGTGACGTCTGACTTGTAAGGCGTCTTGTAGGACGCCACGAAATCGAACAGCGTCAGCTCGCGCGGGTCGATGAACTCACATGGGCTCGCCGATGACGCCCGCCCTTCCACGAGTAGCGGCACGCAGACGTGGCCCGTGCGTTCTGCTTCGTCCACAGCCAGGAACTCCTGGACCTTGCGGGCGCGCCACTCAGCATAGCGAGCGATGACGGCCGGTGGCGCAGGCTCGGGCAGCTGCTCCGCCTCGGGATTCTTGATCGCCGTCTGCCATAGGTGGACAGGCACAAAGGCAGAATACGTCTCCGGCATGCCCGTGTGGATCCATTGGAAGTCCCGCGAAATGCGCACCACCGGGAGGCCGAGGAGCATGTGGCACGCCTCGAAGGTGGACGTCACGCGGCCTTGCGTGCTCATGTACGCGAGGCGGTACACGCCCTTGGAGGCCACCGGCGTACCCTTCGGCAGCTTGGAGACCTCTTGCTGCAGCTTCGCCGCGGCATCCTTGGCCGTGTCGTTCTTCAGCACGTAGCCGAGGATGTACCTCGCCACAGCAAACGAGTTCTCCACCACCTGCAGGTCCATTGAGGCTCTCCACCGCCGCAAGATCCGCGGATTGTACATGCCCATCATCGCTGCGTTGTCGCGTCGGCGCACGAAGTATCGATTCTTCGAGCCGTTGTTCCACAGCTGCGACTGGTTCTTCTTCACGGTGCGCTTCTGCTGCGGCTGCGGAAACCCCCATCGACACCGACCGAGCGACCAGCGACCGCAATACGGCGAGTGTTTGTGCAGGAGTGGCTGCGTCAAGAGAGCCATGACGCCGTCCTTGTAGACCCTCAGGTGTCGCGCCGGGGCAGTCGTCCGGACGTGAACGTCATAGACCGAGCAGACGTCCTCTGGTCTGGCTGGGCCGAGCGCCTCGTCATCCGTGGACTCTGCATTCCCATTCTCCCAATCGCGTGGGCGAAGCGGCATCCCCGCCGAGTGCAAGACGGCCAGCAGCTCCTGAATCTCCGCCCTCCCGCCCTTCGAGCCAACGCCTCCCGCGTAGCCCAGTTTGCGCCTGATGTCGACCATTCTGTGGACAGGGCAGCCGCCCATCTCCGTCTCCACGTAGAGCAAGTACAGCCTGGCAAGGTCGTCGCCGCGGATCAGCGCGAGGCGCGTCAGAAGTCGGAGCGTCGGCTGTGCCTGCCTCCCCGGCTGCGGCGTTTCGTGGACCAGCGCAAGGGCGAGCAGGTGGCGTTGCTGATTGTGGCTCATGTGGCAGCGCCCCAGGAGTTGATCGTGGTCGTATTCTAGGCTCCTCGTCGCGAAGCAGATCTTCGTGTAAGCATTTCGGAACTCGGTCTCCTGGTCGCGGGCCTCGCCAGCGACGGCAGCGGGCTCGACGTCGCCGCGAGCGTTGAGATTTGGCGTCGCACTCCGCACCAGATGGTTTGCCATCGTGCTCGACCGGGCGCCCCCCGTAGTCTGCGCCGGTCGCCTCCGCGCTGTCCTCGCCCCGCGGCGGCGCGGGCTCTGGGCCGGACTGCGGGAGCAGATGTGGCGGCGCAGGCCTGAGCGCCGCGGGGGCGTCTGGCGGGTTCTCTCGGTCCACGGCGGAGAACTTATGATCGCCCACCGCGTTCTTCCCAGGATTCTTGTATGGGATCGGCTGCTCCAGCATCTGGATCATCAGGACGTCTACCAAGTATGTCGTGGCGTACTTCATAGTCTTGCGCATCAGCCCGTGTCGTGCGCTCTTGTCCCTCCACTCCCTGTGCGACATCACCCTCTTCGCCTTGTCGCAGTACATATAGCCGATGATCTGGCAGCGCTGGTCACCGCGCTGCGCAAGCCATTTGCGGGCAGCCTTGGGCAGGTTGCGCGGGCGCGCCAGCGCAGTGGCGCGGCCGTCAAGCAGTCGCTCCAGCTCGTCCGAGTCCAAGCGCCAGACGGAATCGCCCTCCTTCGGAGGGTCGCAGCACCTCCGAGGCTGCGCGTCGGCATCTGCCGCGGCGCGCCTCGCGTCGCGAGCGGCGCCCCAGTCCTGTATCCACAGCATGATGTGCGCGTGCGGAAACCCTCTCTTTTGCCACTCTACGCGACTCACGAAGTCGCTCACGAGAAAGGGCGGATCCTCGTTCAGCTGTCCGTCCCACTGTGTCCAGTCTGCCTCCGTGAACGCGTCGAGGCCGCATGCGGGGCCGTCGATGTCTGGCGGTGCCTCTCCGTTCGCTGGACCATCCGCTGTGAGCTCCTGCGCGACGTTGCTGTCCCCCTTGCTCTGGCTGCTCCCGCGCAAATGCGGCTTCGGGAACGGCGGACAGCCTTCGCCGACGTCTGCCCTGCGATTGGTGAGCCAGCCAAGAATCCGCTCCAACTGCCTGTTGAATTCGCGTTCGACGTCTGCTGGGTATTGCTGGCAGAGTTGCAACGCCGTCAGTCGACGAGTCCCCGGGCGGGACGGATCCGCAGCCCATTTGTGCTCAGGGTCATTCACGTAGCACCGCACAGCTTCAGCAACGGCGCTCCTGCGCTCTGCGTCGCAGATCAGCGGATTGATGCTGAGCAGGTGCGCGGTGACGCACGCGGCCAAGATCTGCGGCTGCCGCTCGTGGCTCGTCAACGTTAGGAATTTGTCCGGGCGGCCCAACTGCCGCATCATGTGCACCGAGTGCGACCGCTTCTGGCCGAGGAACGCCGTGGTCCCCGGAACCTTGCCCAGCACCGCGTAGGCCTTCTTCTCCGCTGCCTCTCTGCCAGGCACGTCCCGCGTGCCGACGTAAATCGACGCGGCACCGCTGATCTTCTTCCTGAACCATGTCTCCAGCAGGTAGAAGGTGTAGTCTGGATCCTGCTGGAATGCTGGGTCGAAGCTGGCAAGGCGCCGCGAGACGTAGTCTGCGAACTTGCACTCCTGAGGGCACCAGCCCGCGCCGCTCGGGAATAGGTGCGGGAATACCGCGGGCTCCATGTCCATGCGAATCTCAGCCGAACCCTTTGCACCTCTGATCTCCGTGACTGACGCCCCGGGCGGCGGTGGGCCGCCCGCCGTGAAGTAAGTTGCGTCCTCCTGCCGCTGCTCTCTGGCTTCGGCCTCTTCTGCCTCCGCTATCTCCGCCTCCTCGCATTCCTGGATCTTGACCTTCAGCGCCTCCACCAGCTTCTCGACGCGAGGCTTCACTGCGACATCCTGGTAGTGCGCGTTGTGCTCCAAGAGCCAAGCGAGAGCGTCCCTGATCTTCGTGGCGCGCACGGGAATGGCAGACCCTGGCACGCAGCCGCGGACGCGGCACCACAGAATACCCTTCTCGATGTGCACGTCGTCGCCCTCGAGGATCTGCGCCGCCTGCGGCGCGTCCAGTGGCGCGACAAAGGTGCCGCCGCGCTGTGCCAGCGTGCCGCCCTTGGGCATGTGGACCAGTATGGCGTTCGTCTCCCACAGCGCGAGCAGGCGCCTCTCATGTTGAGTGAGGCCAGCCATGGCAATCGGAACGTCTCCCGCGTCGAGGACGTCGTCGCTCACCCGAACCCCGTCCTCGTTCGCGTCGTAGCAGGAGTCGCAGATGTAGACCCGGGCGGCGGCGGCGCCCACTGCCCCAGCGGCCGCCGACTTATCGCGGGCCCTCAACATCCGCGCCGCCATCATGCGATCGGGGCACGGTCGATTGCAGTGATGAGGCGGCCTCTTCCGGCAGCAGGAGCCGCACACGCGAGACCAGCCGTCCTGGTCCCACCTCGCAACCCACGAGAGCCACGCAGCCTCGTCCACCCTGATCGGGCAACCGCTCGTCTCTGCCTGCTCAGCCTGAACGGTGCCCTGGCTCTTCGACGTGGACGCCCGCCGCAGATCGACGCCCGCCGCCTTGCACAGCGCCTTGAACTGCTTGGTGTCTCTTCGAAGGATCTTCATGATATCGTCCTTTGTGTACACGACGGTGCCGTTCGGATGCTGCAGGCCTATCAGCTCCTTGAGCGTGGCAATCTCCTCCTCCGTGAACACTCCAGGCTCTCGCACGGGGCGCCGTGGTAGCAATCCAGCAGCTGCGAGCACCGCAATGTAGTGCTCGTTGCGCCTTTTGACCGCCTTCATGATGGCGCCCTTGTCGTGCGCTGGTCCGCCTTCAGGTGTCTTCGCCGCGTGCATCTCGCGCACGAGGGCGCGCTGCTCCGGCGTTAGTTCGATGCGAGGGTCGACTCCAACGGCTGCGCAGGCGTCAGGGTAGCGGTAGTCCGCCTTGCCCAGCGCGCGCATGATGTCCACTGGCGCGTACGTGTACTTCCCGTCCGTCGTCTGCTCGTCGTTCATCTCGAGGAAGATGTCCGTCTGCTCCTCTGTCAACGCCATTGGCATCGCCCGGCGCTTCCCCATGGGTCGACGCGGACACCCCGCCGCGTAGGCGGCGTCTGCCGCCTCATGCAATCGCCGCTTGTCGACGCCCATTATCTTGCGAATGTCTTCCAGCGCGTACATCCAAGCTCCGTCGTCGTCCCGCGCCACGATCAGCCGGGCGCACATGGCCTTGTCGCTCTCTCCCTCCAGGCGTACCTCATGCCGCACTGCCGCCGCAGCCTCCACGTCGAACACGCGGCGGCCGCGCTGTCCTCGAGGCTGGATGCGCCTGCCCCAGGCTGACCAGAACTCCCGAAGCTGATCCGCGGTGAATACGTCGTCTTGTGAGAAGTCGATGACGTCGGGGTGCGCTGCTGCGAACATGCGCACCATGAGTTCGTTACGATACTTCTCCTGCGTGCCCATCTTCTCTATGATCTCCGTCATCTCGAACGTCAGCTCGCCATCGTCGTCGACCTTCGTGAACATGTCATAGAAACTCATCAGCTCCTCGCGGGAGAACTCAGGGCAGTCCCCAGAGACAGCGGCGAGCTGGGAAGTCGCCGCGCCAATCTCCCCGACGTCGCCAGAAGGGACCGCGGCGTCCTCTTCCTCCACGCGCCCCTCCGGACGCATCGCCGTTGCTGCCGCCAGCGCCACGGTGGATGGGCCGCCCTGCAGCGCCGCCGCCGGCGGGGCGCGCTGCCCGTCATCGCCGGCAGCCCAACCTTATCGGGTGACGAAGCGATCGCCGAAGGAAGTCCCCGACCCTTTCAAACCGCCGAGCCTGATCGAGTCCACAATCGCACGTGCGATCGGTCAACGAAATCGCCTTCGTGATTGCGCTCGATCGCTCGAGATCGATCCCCGTGCAAACGCTAACGCATCCACTAAACCGCGTTTGGAGACGCGGTACCCCGTCGATCAATTCCCATCAAGCCACATCTCGCGATTACCCCGCTCGACGGCTGGATCTCGATCTCCGTGTAGGCGAGACCGCATCCGCCCGACCGCGTCTCGAGATGTGGCATCCTATCGATCAGATCCCATCCAGCCGTGGCTCGCGATCCGCTCGACCGAATGCTATTACAGAGGCTGCGAGCGGTGCCTCCGCCGCCTGCCGGTTGCTCCATCGCGGCGCCCGGCAGATGCTTGTTATGTGAGGTGGGTCGTATAATCGCCGAGTGCTTTGAAGCGCTCTGGCCTTTCGATGAAGGATCAAGTTCCTCTGGGCTGAGTCTGCAGACACTAGGCTCGGCCGATGGCTGCAGAAAAAAAGATGCGGGGAAGGCGCAAGGGAAGATGCAGTAGAGGAAGTGAAAAGAAACGACGCCCGAAGGTGGAGGAAAGCTGGAGAGAAGAAGATGCATGGAGTGATGGCGGCTAGTGGCTCCCGGGATCCACGGTGGCCCCTTCACAATAGATTGTCGATGAGGGCTCCCGGGAACCAGGGGGGCCCTCCGTGGCCCTTTCACAATAAATGGTCGATAAGGGCTCCCGGGAACCGGGGGGGTCCTCCGTGGCCCCTTTCACAATAGATGGTTGATAAGGACTCCCGGGATCCAGGGGGGTCCTCCGTGGCCCCTTCACAACAGATGGTCGATAAGGGCTCCCGGGAACCAGGGGGGTCCTCCGTGGCCCCTTCACAATAGATGGTCGATAAGGGCTCCCGGGAACCAGGGGGGTCCTCCGTGGCCCCTTCACAATAGATGGTCGATAAGGGCTCCCGGGAACCAGGGGGTCCTCCGTGGCCCCTTCCGTGGTCCTCCGTTCACAATAGATGGTCGATAAGGGCTCCCGGGAACCAGGGGGGTCCTCCGTGGCCCCTTCACAATAGATGGTCGATAAGGGCTCCCGGGAACCAGGGGGGTCCTCCGTGGCCCCTTCACAATAGATGGTCGATAAGGGCTCCCGGGAACCAGGGGGGTCCTCCGTGGCCCCTTCACAATAGATGGTCGATAAGGGCTCCCGGGAACCAGGGGGGTCCTCCGTGGCCCCTTCACAATAGATGGTCGATAAGGGCTCCCGGGAACCAGGGGGGTCCTCCGTGGCCCCTTCACAATAGATGGTCGATAAGGGCTCCCGGGAACCAGGGGGGTCCTCCGTGGCCCCTTCACAATAGATGGTCGATAAGGCTCCCGGGGGTCTCAGGGCTCCCGGGAACCAGGGGGGTCCTCCGTGGCCCCTTCACAATAGATGGTCGATAAGGACTCCCGGGAACCAGGGGGGTCCTCCGTGGCCCCTTCACAATAGATGGTCGATAAGGGCTCCCGGGAACCATCACAATAGATGGTCCTCCCGGGGACCAGGGGGGTCCTCCGTGGCCCCTTCACAATAGATGGTCGATCCCGGGAACCAGGGGGGCTCCCGGGAACCAGGACGGGTCCTCCGTGGCCCCTTCACAATAGATGGTCGATAAGGGCTCCCGGGAACCAGGGGGGTCCTCCGTGGCCCCTTCACAATAGATGGTCGATAAGGGCTCCCGGGAACCAGGGGGGTCCTCCGTGGCCCCTTCACAATAGATGGTCGATAAGGGCTCCCGGGAACCAGGGGGGTTCCTCCGTGGCCCTTCACATTAGATGGTCGATAAGGGCTCCCGGGAACCAGGGGGGTCCTCCGTGGCCCCTTCACAATAGATGGTCGATGAAGGCTCCCGGGAACCAGGGGGGTCCTCCGTGGCCCCTTCACAATAGATGGTCGATAAGGGCTCCCGGGAACCAGGGGGGTCCTCCGTGGCCCCTTCACAATAGATGGTCGATAAGGGCCCCCGGGAACCAGGGGGTCCTCCGTGGCCCCTTCACAATAGATGGTCGATAAGGGCTCCCGGGAACCAGGGGGTCCTCCGTGGCCCCTTCACAATAGATGGTCGATAAGGGCTCCCGGGAACCAGGGGGGTCCTCCGTGGCCCCTTCACAATAGATGGTCGATAAGGGCTCCCGGGAACCAGGGGGTCCTCCGTGGCCCCTTCACAATAGATGGTCGATAAGGGCTCCCGGGAACCAGGGGGTCCTCCGTGGCCCCTTCACAATAGATGGTCGATAAGGGCTCCCGGGGACCAGGGGATGGTCGATAAGGGCTCCCGGGAACCAGAGGGGTCCTCCGCGGCCCCTTCACAATAGATGGTCGATAAGGGCTCCCGGGACAAGGGGGTCCTCCGTGGCCCCTTCACAATAGATGGTCGATAAGGGCTCCCGGGAACCAGGGGGGTCCTCCGTGGCCCCTTCACAATAGATGGTCGATAAGGGCTCCCGGGAACCAGGGGGGTCCTCCGTGGCCCCTTCACAATAGATGGTCGATAAGGGCTCCCGGGAACCAGGGGGGTCCTCCGTGGCCCCTTCACAATAGATGGTCGATAAGGGCTCCCGGGAACCAGGGGGGTCCTCCGTGGCTAGATGGTCGATAAGGGCTCCCGGGAACAAGGGGGGTCGTGGCCCCTTCACAATATAGATGGTCGATAAGGGCTCCCGGGAACCAGAGGGGGTCGTCCGCGGTCCCTTCGCAATAGATGGTCGATAAGGGCTCCCGGGAACCAGAGGGGGTCCTCTGCCCCTTCACAATAGATGGTCGATAAGGGCTCCCGGGAACCAGAAGGGGTCCTCCGTGGCCCCTTCAAAATAGATGGTCGATAAGGGCTCCCGGGAACCAGGGGGTCCTCCCAATAGATGGTCGATAAGGGCTGGCTGGCCCCTTCACAATAGATGGTCGATAAGGGCTCCCGGGAACAGGGGGGTCCTCCGTGGTCCTTCACAATAGATGGTCGATAAGGGCTCCCGGGAACCAGAGGGGGTCCTCCGTGGCCCCTTCACAATAAATGGTCGATAAGGGCTCCCGGGAACCAGAGGGGTCCTCCGTGGCCCCTTCACTATAGATGGTCGATAAGGGCTCCCGGGAACCAGAAGGGGTCCTCCGTGGCCCCTTCACAATAGATGGTCGATAAGGGCTCCCGGGAACCAGGGTGGTTCCCGGGGTTCCCGGGGTTCCCGGGGTTCCCGGGAATCCCGGGGTTCCCGGGGTTTCTGGGGTTCCCGGGTTTCCCGGGGTTCCCCGGGTGCCCCGGGTGCCCCGGGTTCCCAGGGTTCCCGGGGTTCCCCGGATTCCCGGGGTTCCCGGGATTCCCAAGGTTCCTGGGGTTCCTCGGGTTCCTCGGGTTCCCGGGGTTCCCGGGGTCTCTCCGGGGTTCCCGGGGTTTCCCGGGGTTCCCGGGAGCCCTTATCGACCATTTATTGTGAAGGGGCCACGGAGGACCATGGTGGATAGGGTTCCCGGGAACCACGGGGGGTCCTCCGTGGCTCCTTCATAATAGATGGTCGACCAGAGCTCCCGGGAACCAGGGGGGTCCTCCGCGGCCCCTTCACAATAGATGGTCGATAAGGGCTCCCGGGAACCAGAGGGGGTCATCCGTGGCCCCTTCGCAATAGATGGTCGATATAGGGCTCCCGGGAACCAGAGGGGGTCCTCCGTGGCCCCTTCACATTAGATGGTCGATAAGGGCTCCCGGGAACCAGAGGGAGTCCTCCGTGGCCCCTCACAGTAGATGGTCGGTAAGGGCTCCCGGGAACCAGGGGAGTCGTGGCTCCTTCACAATAGATTGTCGATAAGGGCTCCCGGGAACCAGAGGGGGTCCTCCGTGGCCCCTTCACATTAGATGGTCGATAAGGGCTCCCGGGAACCAGAGGGAGTCCTCCGTGGCCCCTTCTAGATGGTCGATAAGGGCTTCTCTGTGGCCTCCTCCCGGGAACCACGGGGGCCCTCTGTGGCCCCTTCACAATTCCTATAGATGGTCGATAAGGGCTCCCGGGAACCAGGGGAGGGTCGTCCGCGGTTCCTTCACAATACATGGTCGATAAGGGCTCCCGGGAACCAGGGGGGTCCTCTGGGGACACACTAAACACACAGAGGGCGAGAGAACAACGTGATCCGACACCGTATGGTGGAAACGCCAAATATAAGGTTTGGATGTAAAAACACGACTGCCCGAATTTGATGTTGAGTTGCGTTTGCCACGTGCCAACCATAAGAAATAGTGCTCTGATTGCAAATAGGAGGGCCTTGAAAATAGTTTAATGCACTCCAGGGAAGGTCTGGGGAACCAACAGTAAGTAGAATCCCACAGTTCAGATCCTTGCGTTTTGGTGCATCCTAGGTTTCTGGTGAGGCCAGCTCAGTGCACTCTTAGTTTTTGGCTGGGTCAATTCGTTTCTGTGACGTTGGAGATCGCTCGTCGGAAGTATGCGTCCGCGCTTATTTGTGCATTGCAGCATGGCCCTCTCCGTTTTCATAGTGGCACACTGAGGGCTCGAAAGCAAAAGCAAAGCATCCCCCTGCCCCGCTCGTCGTAGTTACCCTTCTCAGTATTCAAGTCTGTTTCTTTCCCCCTCCCCCTCTGCCTCCGCCCTCTCCTCCTCCTTGGGGGAGAGGGTAGGGGCAGCCATTTTGGCTGCGAGCGTGATGGACGTGCATTTTGCGAGGTCCATTGCGCAGCATGCGCGGCTTTCCCCGGCGGGCGACGGGATATGTTTCCCGTCTCGGGCCAGCCTTGCCGCGGTGCTGCGCCAGTCGGCGCTGGCCGCGGGCCACGACGGCGAGGGCCCAGTGCAGGCCCCTGCTTTTTGTTTTTTCTTGGGACTGGCGGAACGAAGGGGGGCCAGAGGAGGGGGGGGGGAAATTAGAGGAGGGAGAGGGGGGGGCGGACGGACAGGCGCCTGGAGGAACTGAGAGGGGGAGCGAAGGGCGGGGAAAGGCGGCTGAAGGGGTCTAGCGGGGGCAGAGGGAGACAGAGATGTTTGAATAAGGTAAGTATTCGAAAGATGGGGGGTGGGCGCGGGGAGGAAGAGGATAATGGGTATAATAACGCGGAGGAAGAGGAGGTGGAGGAAGCGGAGGGACAACGAGACAGGGAGGCGGAGGAGGAGGAGGAGGAGGAGATGACAGCCGAGAAGATCGAGGAGGGATGAGGAGACAGATTGAGGTTTAGGGGGAGCGGGAGAGACATAATCACAAACCATCGGCCTAAAGGTCGCCGCGCTTCGACGCGCTGCCGAGGCAGCGGTGGACAGTGCGGCCGCTGCCAGCGGCGCTGGCTGTCTAGGACTGGTCGTGCTCAAGGATGCTGCAGCTCGAGTTGGCATCAGGCTCTCCCCGGGCGCGCTCGTCAATATTGAACGGCGTGTGGCTGTCGCGCTGCAAGCGCAGCAACGAGCAGTCGTGCCTGCTGCGGCCGCCGATCCCGATCCCCTCGCTGGTGCGCCAGATGATGATGATGACGATGAGGATGCCCAACCATTGGTGGCTGCGAGGTCCAAAATCAAGGTTATGTCAAGGGAGGTGTACCGCTTGCGTGCATTACATAAGAATTGGAAGGATCGGGCGACACTAGCTGAGTTTAGATTGGCCCAGGTCGAGCGTGACAGAATTAATGCTGTGTTGGGGTGCAAGCTCGGGAGACGACGGCGCGCGGGCGCCAGACGGTCGAACCTCAGTGTGCACGGCGGGTACCAGCTTGCTTTGAGGAGGAACGTCGGCCACATTGGCAGCGGCGCCCTCGTGAGTGCGCTCGACATGCCGATCAGTGGTCTGAGTGTCACTAGGTGGGAGCGCAAGCTAGCTAATAACATGTGTTTGGCTTCGCCGCCCCGCCTGTGCCCCGCTAAAGACGCACTGCTTCAACGAGCTCGGGTGCGCGGAAAATTCAAACGACACCACTGACCATAAACAATTCAAACGACCAAACGGCGCAATGCAACAAGGCACGATTACCACAACGAGCCTTCGTGACTTCGGGAGTCCCCAGGGTCGGCGGGTCATTGGCCGTGCGCGAGATTGGCACCGGAGGCAGCGCAATCGGATCATCAGAGCTGGTGCCAACAACCAGATGTCTTACGAAATACATTCCGTCAGGGCCGATGCGACTAACAGCGCGGCCGCGTCCCTCAACATGAAGGTGCACGTGTGCTGCACGACTAGCGTCTACTACGCCCCCATCATGCCTGGCGACTAGGCTGTTCCAATGAACTAGATAGCCGGGGCTCAGTGGAGGCACGGGGGAGGAGGAGGAAGGAGGAGGAGGAGGAGGGAGGAGGAGGAGGGGGAGGAGGAGAGGAGGAGACGAAGTCGAAGGAGGAGGGTTGGAGGCTGATGGGGAGAAGGTGGAGGAGGAGGAGGAGCAGGAGGAGGGGGAGGAGGAGGAGGAGGGAGGAGGAGGAGGAGGAGGAGGAGGAGGAGGAGGAGGAGGGGAGGCGGAGGAGAGGGCGAGCGAGGATGAGAGACGGGAGGGGAGTCGAAAGAATGTTAACGACGACGACGAGACCAGAGATACAGATTATCCCAGTGCGACCCTACCTAGGAGTTGGAACCCCTAGGAAAGCAGCATTAGTAGTAACAGTAACGCCAAGCTAAAGCTATGCTAAAGCTAAGCTTAAGCTAAGCTAAAGCTAAGCCACAGCTAAGCTAAAGCTAAGCTAAAGCTAAGCTAAAACTAAGCTGAACGCTAAGCTAAAGCTAAGCTGAAGCTAAGCTGAAGCTGAGCTAAAGCTGTGCTAAAGCTAAGCTAAAGTAAGCTAAAGCTAAGCTAAATCTAAGCTAAAGCTAAGCTACAGCTAAGCTACAGCTAAGCTACAGCTAAGCTACAGCTAAGCTACAGCTAAGCTAAAGCTAAGCTGAAGCTAAGCTAAACGCTAAGCGAAAAGCTAAGCGAAACGCTAAGCTAAAGCTAAGCTACAGCTAAGCTAAGGCTAAGCTAAAGTTAAGCTAAAGCTAAAGCTAAAGCTAAAGCTCCCAGGGGACTGGGGGGAACCGCAGGGCGGGGACTGGGGGAACCGCCCGGGGCGCTTAGCACTGCCCAGCCCCTTCAAGCTAAGAGAGTAAGAACCCTTTCTAGGCAGAGCCTAGGTAGGGAATGTATAAATTATATATCTTTATCTCTGGTCTCGTCGTCGTCGTTAGTATCTCTAGAGACCAGAGTAGATAGAGAGCGAGGCGGCCACCGCTGCCACCACCGACGCTGACGGCGATGAGCGGTGACGAGACGTCCCGAGACTTCGGCCCCAGAGTTCCCGGGACCCCACGCGTGGAGATGGGGTTGGGGCCTCCAGAGGCCCTTGGTTCCCTTGGTCCTGGTCGGCCTGGTTCGGGGCCGTCGATCTCTCGGGCGGGTGATCGATGCAGAATGCGCGAGCAGGTGACCATGACATTGACGACGACCTTTTGCAACCGCTGCAAGTGTATTCTGATCTGCAACTTGTGCCGCACGACAACAACGGGCTTTCGCAAGTCAGGCTAGTTTCTAAGCAGACCGAGGGCGTCGGCATGAAACCTATCGCGTCACGGCAGCAGCCTCATCGGCGCCACCTGCGGGCGCTGGTGTTTACTACGGACAAAGGTCCTTCCTTCAAGCCCCATCTCTTTTCTACTCTCATATCCTCATCTTCCTAACTTCCCCCCTCGTACTCCGGAGTCCGGCGCCGGAGTCCTCTCGCCCGTCCTCCCCCCCATCTCCTCCTCCCCGTCCTCGCCCTCCTCCTCCCGCTCCTTCTCATGAGTCGTCGTAATCCTCTGGCTTCCAGTGCTCGCACTCGTTATCGCAGTTTGTTTTTGTTTTTGTTTCGGTCCTTGTAGGTCCAGACCAGCAGGGCGCGTCTAGATTGATCAAGGGCCTTCTTGCAGATTGCGACTGGGTTATGATAATTTGGCAGTGGTGCGTCGACCATTTGGTCCACAGGTCGGCGGAACTACAACTAAAGCGCCTAGACAGGTTCAGATACTACTCTCGGCTCGCCACATTGATCAATGTGTGGAGGGCTACAGGAAATGGTTCCAAAATATACGGTGCGTGGGCTGAACTTTATGGGACCCCGGATGCCAAGCTGCACTTGCGACGCCTGCCACCGAAACCGCTTCGTGGACGGTGGGGCACGATCTCGTCGACTGAGGAGCCAGGGCATCAACAACCTTATCCCGGAGGGCACCCAGGGACCCTGGATCCAGAGTTTTTCGGAGTGGTCCGATTGTCTGACGGTTTTGGGCGTGTAGGCGTTTCGGCGGGAGGGGAACGGGAAGGGGTTTGTTTTTGTTTTGCTGGGGCCCAGGAGTTCTTGGAGTTTGCTTGCGGTGGCGACGTCGGCAAGCTGCTGGCTGTTTTCCAGAAGGTGTGGCCCGCTGGCGGGCCTGTTATCGACGCCAGGCCAATCGCACCAGGCGCCGGCGTCGCCCCTGCCGACGACGGAGAGGAAAACTATACAGTCAAGATGGGCCGTTGGATCAGGGACGCTTTGTGTTCGCTTTCGGACTTGGATTTCTGGGTACATGTGCTGGTTGCCAGACGAACTCGGGCGCCGTTGGCCCGCCTGCTGAACTGGATGCAACAAAAACAGCTGCCCGGGGATGCGCCAAAAGTCAGTAGATTGGTGAATGGGAAGCTCTTGGAACTTGCTCATATGTACGACGCCCTGTTGTTGAGCCCAGGGGAGCGTGCTATGTCGTGGGGGCCAGTTTTCGATATGTGCAGAGACAGCGAGCAGCGCGCCGTCTCACTCAGGGCGCTCATTGTGGAGTTGGTCCTGGAGTTGCGGGCTGATTTCGAAAGAAGGATTCTTCTGCCCCTCAGTGGATATCCGTGTCGGCTGCTGAAGCTGATCCAGGTCCCCTCGCACATCGTCAGCATCGCGGGTCCAGACTCGAGGGCTGCGGTCGCGCAGGAATCCTTTGCCGCTTTGCCCTGCCTCCCCTGCCTCAGCCCGTCAGCTCTCTCGACTCTCGCCCGCTTCCCTGCTTCCCCCCATGCCATCCCTATCCCATTCCCCACCTCACCTCCCTCCCGCCACCCTGTCTCCGAGCTTCTCTCCCTCCAGCCTCTCTGCCCATCCCATCCCCCTTCCCTCCTTCGCTCTATTCACTCGATTCCCGATTTTACCATGTGATTGCCTGGGGTGAAATTCGACCGCCGATGGCCCCGACTCGGGGCCGCCCCAAGGGCCACCTGAGGCCCCCCAGCCCAAGGGCCCCAAGGGCCCCCTCTGGATCAGGAGCTGCTCGACTCCATCGAACACCAGGGCAAGATCGACTGCCGCGCGTCCCTCAATTTCGCCAAATGGTTCCAGGAATCGTTGGTCCACGCTGCTGCGACAGGCACCCTCGACCCCAATGCGTCTGGCTTCCTGGAAGACCTTTCCAGCTTGTGGTTCGGGGATACACAGGAGATCGAGGGGTGCAACTCCATAGTGAAGCACGTGGGGAAACTAGCGCCGAACATCGGGCTGCCACTGCTGTCGAGCCGCATCACAATCAAGAAGGCCGTTGCCAGACTCGAGTCGCCAGAGCAGCGCCGGGCTTTCCTGGAAGGGTGCGTCGCGGATCATGCCCAGGAACGGCACGTGAAACTTAATGCCGCCCCTCCCACATGATGGGGGGGTAATGTGCCGAGGAATCAAGGAGGAGGACGGGGGGGAGGAGGAGGAGGAGGAGGAGTAGGAGGAGAAGGAGGAGGAGGAGGAGGAGGAGGAGGTGGAGGAGGAGGAGGAGGAGGAGGAGGAGGAGGAGGAGGAGAGGAGGGAGGAGGAGGAGGAGGAGGGAGGAGGGGGAGGGGGAGGGGGAGGAGGAGGGAGGAGGAGGAGGAGGAGGAGGAAGAGGAGGAGGAGGAGGATGAGGATGAGGATGAGGAGGGAGGAGGAGGAGGAGGAGGAGGAGGGGGGAGGAGGGGAGGAGGAGGAGGAGGAGGAGGAGGAGGAGGAGGAGGAGGAGGAGGAGGAGGAAGGAGGAGGGGAGGAGGAGGAGGAAGAGGAGGAGGAGGAGGAGGAGGAGGAGGAGGAGGAGGAGGAGGACAGGGGAAGTGGAAGGAGACACCCTCTGCCCGCCCTCTCCGCGCGAGGCTCTGCCGCTCGACGACGACGACCCTGGCCGCTGGGACATGATCCCGATCCCCGTGCCTGGCCCCCTGCACGATGCGCTCCCGGCGCCGCCCGCCGCGCCCGACCCCGCCGGGGCTGGCCCGCCTGCTGGGGCAGCGGCTGCGCCGGCGCCGGCGGCCGCCCGGGACCCAGCAGCGCTGGCGGCGGCCGCGCAGATGCGCTTCGCCTGGAGGGTGTTCGCGCTGGCGAAGGACCCCCAGGGCGAACGCGGCGAGAGCAGTGGAGGGGGGCGGATGAGTCCGGGGAGTAAGCGAGAGAGAGAGAGAGAGAACAAACAAAAACAACGAAATAAGAGAGAGAGGGATATCTATACATACATATAGATATATAGATATAGAGAGAGAGAGAGAAAGCAAGAGAGAGGGAGAAAGAGAGAGAGAGAGAGAGAAACAAAAGAAAGAAATACATGAGGGGAGAGGGAGAAAGAGAGAGAGAGGGAGCGAGAGAGAGAGAGAGAGGGAGAGGAGAAAAAATAAAGTGAGAGAGAGAGGAGGGAGGGGGTGAACGGTGGATGAGGATGAAGATGACGAGGATGAGAGGAGAGGAGCCCAGAGGAGAGGCGAGGAGTGGAGAGGCAAGGATCGGCCAAGAGAGGGGAGGGGGGGCAGACGACAGCGAGGGCGAATGCGAGAGATAGAGAGAGGGATATAGATATATGGTTATATCGAAAAGTATATTGATATATATCTATATATATATATGTATACATGCACAGAGAGAGAGAGAGAGCGCTAACCCGAGACTCCCATCATCACCGCTGTCATCGCAGTCCTATCGTCGTCTCGTCGTGCTTCGGTTTCATCTGCGCAGACGGCGACGGGACGCCAGTTAGCAATGGCATGATTGCTTGCTCTTGTGTCCCGACGCTGGCTGGTTGGATGAAATCGCACAGCATGTCCATGTCGTCGTCGTCGGTCTGACCCCCGTTGCTCGCTTGCCACAGGCTGTTCTCGGGCCCGTGCACCCGAGCTGCCGTCGCGGGTTCTTCCTCGACCCGATGCCGATTGGCGGTGATTCTGCGTGGGTGATCTCGCACA